TAGTCAACATTTGAAGTGGATCAAAAAAAGTTCAAAGTTGTTCTGAGACAAGAACACATTTTGGTTTTAGGACAACTTTGATGAAAGGTTTTGATCCACTTCAAATGTTGACTACTGTATACATGGCTTCAAAGCTAATATTTAAAAAAAAATCATGTGACCTGAACAAATTTAGTTTTATTCCAAATCTAAATTTAAAAAAATGTTTGTTTGTTTTTTTGCATGTGAGCTGCAGTTTTTTTTTATCTTTGTTTTGCCTTTCTTTTTACAGCATCAAAGGAAAGCTTACCACAAAACAATAAAGATAAAGGCACTAAAGGTGGTAGAGGGTTCCGGAAGCAACTGTTTGAGCACTACATGTGCACTGAGGATGTTTCTGCAGGCCTGGAAAGAGGAGAACTCATAAAGGTGATATAGTACATGTAAACCTATACTTCTGGGTAGTTAACTGTACAAGCCAAGCAATGACCATGTTCTGCAGTGTGACATGCTTAACTTCTGAGCATCTAAAATGGTTTTACTTTTTAAAAACCTTTTTTATACATGTATAATTTGCATAATATAAAAAACAATGTGGGGAGAAAAAAAATATATATATATAATCGTAACTGAGAGCATGCCTGGAATATTTGTACTTTGCTGAATGAATTTGCAAAAAGAAAAAAAGCCCAAAATAACTGATTCAAAGTCATCTCTTGAAGCTTTGGAATCTTTAAGAACTTATCAAGCAAGAATTATGAAGGTTTTAATGAAATTGTCATCTTAATAATTTTATAGTATTATTTTCTGCTTGTTACCTGATCACTCTGGTAATGAGCAAGTAGACAGTGCTGCCTAAGAAGCATTATTTACAGAACTTGTAAAATGCTATACATTTAAAAACAAATTGCAGTCAGAATAGGATCAGTGTTAATTAAATCAATCCTGATGTTGGGACAAGATATGTATTCCCTTTTAATAATCATTAGGATCAAGTAATTCACACACGTTGCCAGATATGACACTCAAGATTTTAAAGTGCCCCTATTATGGGTTATGAAAGGTTAATTTTTTGGTTTTGGGAGTCCCCAACAACAGGTAGACATGCATGCAAGGTCAAAAAACACTTTCATTGTCTTTATAATATGCATTTATTTTTACCTTATTTACTCAACGACTTCCAATCAATTCGCTCAATGATTCACTTTGCGTGACGCTAATCTGCGGTGATTAGTCCAATTGGTCGATTTCATTTCCATTTCATCATGCCTGTATTGCCTGATAAAGCAGCGTTTGTGAGCGCAGTGCTGCTTTGTGTACAGCCGTTACCGGGGAAACCGCTATTTTTACCGCTCCAAAAGCCGCTATTTTTACCGCTCTGACCTTTTAAAATTCCATGACCCGTGGGAACCCTGCACTAGGCACCTAGTGCAGGGTTCCCACGGGTCATGGAATTTTAAAAGGTCTATTCCAGACATTGAGTCAAGGAATAGGAATTTTCAAGGAATTGTATATATTTTTTGTCTAAGTCATGGAATATCAGGGATTTCCGTTTGTCGCTTTAAATTTTCCATTCATCAAAGTGTAATTTTTCTATACTGTATTTTTTTTTTTATCACATTGTTTCACGCGTTTTGCCTATTGTTATGGTTAGGCTACATGGCTCAACAATAAGATGTGCTCGGGACAGTTGATGGATTTGTCACTTGCCTGATCGGGCTGCTGCTGTGTAGTCACGAAAGTTTATTGTTTGCATGTGTTTTTAAGCCTTGTTAATTTAAAAATTCAAGCGATTTTAAAAGCATTCGGGCACGAAAGACAACTGCATTCACTACTCGCGTGCCGTGTTCTGTGTGAACAGCCCACGTATAGACAGCTGCGAGCCCTGAATTGAGTTTTCTTTCCGCGTCATTAACTGTGGCCAGAGATGCTGAAGACGGCTGCAAAGAGGAGAAAATACTATAGCAGGCAGAACAAGATCACTGTTCACAAATGCGCGGAATATAGGAATCCTAAATATTGAATTTTATATAAATGTGTTTTTGAGGGAAACTGGCTTTTTTCAGAAAAGTTTACATTAGTTTTGATACCTCAGGTGCTGCTGTGTTTACAGTAGTAACCAAGGAAACGCTGTATTACTATTCCATAAGCACCACCTGCTGGCTGAGAGTGTTTTTTTGAGCCCTTGGACTATTTTGTAGCATTGGCTACAAAATGACCACTTCAAAGACTGGGTGTTAAAAGTAGACGACAGAAAAGCAAAAACCACCACCAGTGTGCAGCATCCATTTGGATGATGCGACGGCAGCCACAGGACAACGGCGCCAGTGCGCTCACCACACACCAGCTACAGGTGGAGAGGTGAGAGAGTCATAGAGCCAGTCAAGTGGATGGGGATTATTAGGAGGCCATGATAGACTGGCCCATGATGGGGCCAGTTGCGGCAATTTGGCCAGGACCCTCTTACACCCCTGCTCTTTTACGAGAAGTGCCATGGGATTTTTAATGACCACAGAGAGTCAGGACCTCGGTTCTCATCTGAAGGACGATGCTTTTTTTACAGTATTGTGTCCCCATCACTATATTGGGGCGTTAGAACCCACACAGACCACAGGGTGAGCACCCCCTGCTGGCCTCACTAACACCTCTTCCAACAGCAACCTAGCTTTCCCAGGAGGGCTCCCATCCAGGTACTGACCAGGCTCAACACTACTTAGCTTCAGTGGGCAACCAGTCTTGGGCTGCAGGGTGATATGGCTTGGTATTCATTTTAAAAATGGCTCGTTTAAATGATTCAGAGTCGACACTTTCTTTTGAGAGACAATAACTTTATACACTTTCAGATTTAGGTGCACTGTCAGATTTAAAACTTTGCAGGATGTTTTCATTCACTTAGAGCTGTGTTACACACTGCATGAAAGTTAATTTTCAAAAATCCATAATAGGGGCACTTTAACATCTATTTTAGCTAATAAGAGAAAATTCCCCGGGGGGGAAAAAAAAATCTTAAACATTTTTAGTTTTATTTTTAAAGAACTAAACCTGGCTATTGCCATGAATATAGCCATAGAAGTTGGCATTGCATTAAATAGAAAAGGAGTTAAAATAAATTTTAACCTGAAATCTTTAAAAAAGTTGGGCTGCAGGGTGATATGGCTTGGTATTCATTTTAAAAATGGCTCGTTTAAATGATTCAGAGTCGACACTTTCTTTTGAGAGACAATAACTTTATACACTTTCAGATTTAGGTGCACTGTCAGATTTAAAACTTTGCAGGATGTTTTCATTCACTTAGAGCTGTGTTACACACTGCATGAAAGTTAATTTTCAAAAATCCATAATAGGGGCACTTTAACATCTATTTTAGCTAATAAGAGAAAATTCCCCGGGGGGGAAAAAAGAATCTTAAACATTTTTAGTTTTATTTTTAAAGAACTAAACCTGGCTATTGCCATGAATATAGCCATAGAAGTTGGCATTGCATTAAATAGAAAAGGAGTAAAAATAAAATAAATTTTAACCTGAAATCTTTAAAAAAGTTTGTTGTTTGTCAACTAAACTTTACTACTTACTGTGCAGTTGTATATACTGTACACTGCCTGCTATTTTTATTTAAATGAGTGAGCAAAACAGTAGGCATCCTTTACCCAATATTCCCATATTCCCTTTTAATTTGTTTAATTAATAGCGAGTGCTTTTCAGGCGAGAGCAGCAGAGTGATAGCTGCTAAGTCTTTTAGTCCCTATATATATATATATTTTTTTTCTCAGTTACCTCTTTGTCCCCACAATCAAAATAATATAAGCAGGTAAATCCGTGAATTAAAAACACAAATTTGTTCAGATAACAATAGGGGACAAAATTGCAATTCCTTACTGGCCTGCTTCACAAAAATATGCAAAATCCAAAACATTTATGGATGATAATGGAAGGCAGATTCAATTTTCATAAATGCTTCAATTAATTTTTTAATTTACCATGGTCATCGGCTGTATTATTAATTTTTGATGTTCTAAAGCCAAACGGTTTTCACTAGGGGAAAAAATATCTATATATTGGGTTGTATTTGATTTTTTTTTTTTATTATTATTTTTTAAAATTCTTATCGATGCCCAGATGGTTTCATTCAGTTTCGTATATATTTAGTATATTTGGGTTACTTCTCAAACGACATTGTTTTCATGTAACATGCTTCGTTTTATCTTCCCCACAATCAAAATAATATAAGCAGGTAAATCCGTGAATTAAAAACACAAATTTGTTCAGATAACAATAGGGGACAAAATTGCAATTCCTTACTGGCCTGCTTCACAAAAATATGCAAAATCCAAAACATTTATGGATGATAATGGAAGGCAGATTCAATTTTCATAAATGCTTCAATTAATTTTTTAATTTACCATGGTCATCGGCTGTATTATTAATTTTTGATGTTCTAAAGCCAAACGGTTTTCACTAGGGGAAAAAATATCTATATATTGGGTTGTATTTGATTTTTTTTTTTATTATTATTTTTTAAAATTCTTATCGATGCCCAGATGGTTTCATTCAGTTTCGTATATATTTAGTATATTTGGGTTACTTCTCAAACGACATTGTTTTCATGTAACATGCTTCGTTTTATCCTGGAAATTTTTCTCTTGTTCTGTTTAATATTTCAAAATAAAAATAACAAGTGGACTTAAATTTTACATGGGCTTATTATGGTCATTTATTCTGTAGAGTAAAATCTCAAAATGGACAACTATTTAAACAGTTGGCATAATTCAAATATTTAAATGTCATTCTCTTTAAGGGAGTACTGAGAATAAACCCTAAGAAGTACATGGAAGCTTTTGTCCCGTCTCCTGTGAGTATTTTTTCACCCTTGTACATACTATTGAACATATACAGTGTACCCTTAAGTTAAACATACTATCGAACATTGAGTTGTGGTCAGAATTATTACTGGAACAATCCTCCTCGCCATGCTTTTGCTCTACCCCCTCTAATTTAACCTCTACCACCTCTAATTTTTTTTTTTAATGTAAGCTCAAAAGTGTAAACAATGCAGATTTATTTTCACTGCCTTCTTTGCTTATGTTTACCAAGGGGGGCAAATAGTTCTGACCACAACACAAATGGTTGCTAGCATAATCATGATTCTCATTCAAAAGTAACTGACCAGCTCTTTTTGATTAGTAGTGGGTGTTGCTTTGTCATTGTCCTAATTCTGATTAAGTGTAACTCTCATTTGATGCAAATTTTAATTGTGAATTGTATGTGATTTTTGTGGTACAGGATGGGTCAGCTGATATCTTTCTGGATGGGATTGCAGCTCGTAACAGGGCTCTCAATGGAGATGATGTTGTGGTGAAAGTCCTCCCCTCTGAACAGTGGAAGGTACTTTATCAAAATGTACTTAAATTTTGACAGGTAAGTAATTGGGAACTTATTCAATAATTTGAAGTTCTCTACCCATCTATTAATGACTTCCTGACATGGATTATAACTTCGGGAGCAGAACAATTTATTACCTCACATAACTCATTGCTAATTGTTATGGCTAATTGTGCCGTGATTATTTCCCGAGAAACATGTCTTTGTAAAAGCCAGTATAGCAGTATAGTTTCCAGTCACCAAATATAAATTTCATTGAACTTTTGAGATGTTGATAACAAATTTTCAGTGTAGTCTCAATGTGAAATAAAAAAAGCTGCATGCATAATGAAAGATGCAAATGCTGTTTAAAATTGTATTAGAAGACGAGTAGCATGTCAGGCTGTATGTCAGCTTCTCTTTGCATATATTATTAATAGAGTGCTTGAAAATGTACAGGTGCATCTCAATAAATTAGAATGTTGTGGAAAAGTTCATTTATTTCAGTAATTCAACTCAAATTGTGAAACTCGTGTATTAAATAAATTCAATGCACACAGACTGAAGTAGTTTAAGTCTTTTGGTTCTTTTAATTGTGGTGATTTTGGCTCACATTTAACAAAAACCCACCAATTCACTATCTCAACAAATTAGAATATGGTGACATGCCAATCAGCTAATCAACTCAAAACACCTGCAAAGGTTTCCTGAGCCTTCAAAATGGTCTCTCAGTTTGGTTCACTACGCTACACAATCATGAGGAAGACTGCTGATCTGACAGTTGTCCAGAAGACAATCATTGACACCCTTCACAAGGAGGGTAAGCCTTTGAAGATGTTGATTTCATTTTCCAGCAGGATTTGGCACCTGCCAAAATTGGCACCTGATTTGGCACCTGCCAAAAGCACCAAAAGTTGGTTAAATGACCATGGTGTTGGTGTGCTTGACTGGCCAGCAAACTCACCAGACCTGAACCCCATAGAGAATCTATGGGGTATTGTCAAGAGGAAAATGAGAAACAAGAGACCAAAAAATGCAGATGAGCTGAAGGCCACTGTCAAAGATACCTGGGCTTCCATACCACCTCGGCAATGCCACAAACTGATCACCTCCATGGCACGCAGAATTGAGACAGTAATTAAAGCAAAAGGAGCCCCTACCAAGTATTGAGTACATGTACAGTAAATGAACGTACTTTCCAGAAGGCCAGCAATTCACTAAAAATGTTTTTTTTTAAATTGGTCTTATGAAGTATTCTAATTTGTTGAGGTAGTGAATTGGTGGGTTTTTGTTAAATGTGAGCCAAAATCATCACAATTAAAAGAACCAAAGACTTAAACCACTTCAGTCTGTGTGCATTGAATTTATTTAATACACGAGTTTCACAGTTTGAGTTGAATTACTGAAATAAATGAACTTTTCCACGACATTCTAATTTATAGAGATGCATCTGTATTTGTCCCATCCTGATTTCTTCTGATTTTGTGTATATTTCATACTAGATCTTCAGATGAAATACAACATGAAACACAGGCAACCTGAATAAACAATTTTATATATTTATTTATTTAGCAATCACCCATGTGAAGAAACTAATTGACCTGTTAAATTTAAAATTGTGCCCCTTTTAGCAGCAATAACTTCCCATCTCCAATAACTGGAGATCAGTCTTTGACAGTGCTGTGATGGAACTTTGGCCCACTCTTCTTTGCAGAACTACGTTAGTTCAGCCACACTGGAGGGTTTTCATGCTTGAACAGCCCATTGCCACATTATCTCAATTGTGATTGAGAAGTCAGAAGTTTGACAAGGCCACTTCAAAAACGTAATTTTCCTTTTTTTGAGCCATTCAGAGATGGACTTACCCCTGTGTTTTGAATCATTGTCTTCCCACTAAAGAAGTGGGAAGTTCTCACACCCCACCCACCCCCCCACGGTGATACCGGTATTATCGGTGTTGTCACACGTCGATTAACCGGTGGGAAAATTTCCTCACCGTCACAGCCCTACTTCCCTCATAATCCATTTATGCTTGATCTTCAACTTACAAACTGAAGACTGGGCATTCATGGATTTTCTGGTAGGTTTTCTCAGAATTTATGTTTGCCTTAATTCTTGCCCGGGCTCTGAAGCAGCAAAGCATCCCTGCACCAGTACAATGCCACCACCATGCTTGACCATAAATATGATGTTCTTTTTGTGGAATTTGGCATTATTTAACAGGACCCCTGTCTTCCAAACAGTTCCACTTTTGACTCATCAGTCCACAAAACATTCTCCTTAAAGATTTGCGGGTCATCATTTTGGCATTGACGACATTCAGATTCAGGTTTATTTTTTATTTATTTTATTTTTTTTACAACATACAAACCAGAATGCAAACATAAACATATCAATTCAACTTCCTCACCCACCCAACCTAAAAAATAAAAAAAAAACAGATGAGCCTTAATATTTTCTGGGTTAGCAGTGGTTTTTGCTTCACCACTTTTCCATGGATGACATTTTTGGCCAATGTCTTTCAGATAGTGGAGTATCTATGAAAATGCTTTGTATTCACAAAACATCTTAAGGCTAAAAGTAGCTCATAACTTGTAGATTTAGGAGAAAATCTTAAAGGTGCCATAGAATGCAAAAATCACTTTTATAAGGTGGTTGAACACAGTTGTGTGGCCGCAGTGTGTGAAAACAACCAGCCTACAATGGTAAAAATCCACCCACTCATTATTTTATAATCCCAATAAATCATAAACCGTCTCTCCACACTAGCAGTTCCAGATTTCTCACTACTATGACGTTGTATTTCTGGAAAGTCCCGCCCATTTGTGACGCTCTCTGCCCTATTAGCATATACACAAGCCCTGAGTGAGAAGCAGCGGTCCGCCATTACGGTTTTCTCGCTGTAGCTGCCGGAGGTACAATGTCAGCGCCAAAGAGCCATTAAAAGCATTGTGTGTTAGGATGCACCAACAAACATGAGTCACCATAGACCACTGAGGACACAGTGATTCAATTTCATTTTCGAAGGAAATGTCCCGGAAAAAAACCGGAAAAGTCCTATGCGTTTGTGCTAACATTTTACACCGGACTGCCTCACAAACGAGGGTCAGTTCAGCGCTGGAGTTGTGCAAAGATTGCTTCTGAAAGAGGGATCGATACCAACGCTTCGTGCGCAAACGTCCAGACTCCAGACAAAGTAAGCATCACGCGTCATATTTTGTTTTCCAAAAGAGCTTCTTGGCTCTCTGTAAGGCTAATGTTGCTAAAGCTACCATTGTCTCTGCCTGTTTTCACTGATGCTGCCTTCACGTGCTACCAGAATGATCTTAAATAGGAATGTGGTAGTTAAAAATTGCATTTGGAAGCAATGTGAGGATCAGTAACATGGTCACCACCAGTTAGACCGTAACGCCCGCGAGCATGAGCTCTTGAAGCTCCGCACTCTTCTGAAAAGGGAGGCGGGAGCACTAGCTAATATTCATTTAAAGGGGACAAACACAAAAAACAGCGTGTTTTGGCTCATACTCTAAAAGCGGCAAATTCAACAAGCTATAAAAAATTATCTGTGGGGCATTTTGAGATAAAACTTCACACATACACTCTGGCAGTGGCGGGCAGTGCATTTTACACCTAGGCCTTCAGTGGCGTCCTACATAAATTAATCCATCTCTTCATGCCATCATAATGATGCCACGGCTATAGAAACCATAAGTATTACACAGTAATGCAGTATAACAGGGCACTACATAACAGACAGGTATCGTAGCCTATGTAGCGAGAATGAATGCCATTACTAAAGAAAGAAACCCAATTAACAATTGCGCAACAGATCATCTGTAGCTGAAGCATTAACCTAACAAAATGACACGCATACAGTCCATCCGATGTTCTTGCAGACATTTATTCACCCAATTGTATTTATACTTTACAGATAGCATTGGTATAAAACAAATAAGGTGATTACATGTGTTTTAAAGTTGATCTAACAATTGAATGTTTTCTTACTGCTTTTCGTCTACACGAGTCTCCCCGCCGGTCTGCCAGCGCGAAAGTTGACCTAACAATTTAATGTTCTCTTATTACTGCTTTTCGTCTACACGAGTCTCCCCGCCGGTCTGCCAGCGTGCTGCGGTAGGAAAATACTGGTTAGCACAGCTTTACTAGGAAAGCGAGCAAGTAACATTAAAATAATTCATACAAGACGATGAAGAAAAGTGTATAGATGTGTTTTAACGTACCTCTGTGACTCATCTTCCCGCTGGGCTGCCTCTGCCAGCGCCGCTGCGGCCGGAGGAACAGTCCGGTTAATACAGCTCCACTCGGGAAACTGAGATATTCTTACGGAAACTTAAACCTGGCTTTATATTGCGCAAATAACATCAGCATACAACGCATCAAGCAATAAAAGAGTCAAGAATGAAAATTAACCTACCATACTCTAGTGGTTTTTCATCTTCACGAGTCTTTCACAGAGCCGGTGCCGAGGAGGTGTGTGGTTGTTTTTCCGCAGTCATTAGGACTATTGTTTTTAGATTGACTATATATAGTAGGCAAATCTTTTTTCAAAATGCACTGAAAATCTAAACCTGAGGAGCAGTAATAAAAGTTTTAATAAAATGATTTACAGTGATGCTGTTTGCTAGCTAGTACGCTGACCATCCAATCAAAGGAGGAGAAAATGCTGACGTTATCGTTAGCCAGCTAGATGGCCCTAGTGCTGCCAACTCGAAATCTGTTTGGTTAAAGCAACTATTTCATTGCTATTGATTTAAGCTAACAGACGCCAGCACTGTTGATTCTGAAGGCCTTAAGGTAGATTTCTTTGACCCTGGCAACACAATTGCTGAAATATGATTGGATAAAAGCTTTAATATAAACATACACTGCTGGAAGCAGTGCAACCAAGAGAAAAGCTATGAACTGAAGAGAATAGACTATTGGAAATAATTTAATACACATTCATGGAAAAATATATTAAAACTAAATCAGTGATTCTGATAGTGTTTGGGCAAAGAAGGCTTTGC